ATTGATTGAAGTCCTATTTCTTCAAGTAATGTTTCTGTTGTGATGGTGGTCAAGCTTTTTTCAAGAAGTTAAGGTAGTTTCCATAATTTGTCTTTTTCAATTTCATACTACATACATACAAATTAGGAAAGAATTATTAGAGAAGTAAAGATTGGCAGAAACAAGTAACAAATTTTGCCCTTACCCCAACATTGTGCTCATGTTTAATTACATAGTTCTGCTTCTAATGTTTATGGACTCTGTACTTGTGAAGAAAGTACCTTCCACACACACAATTATGCCTGTCCTCAAATTTTCCAACATCAAAATTCCTCTTGCCACTGGTGGGGGATGAGGTACCTGAGGTGAATCAAATAATTAAGTGAAATGTGTTTCTGTCATTCATTACAATTTGTTTGGCTCAATTCAAAACAGGCCCTTTGTCATCTAACTGAAATTTTGGGGTTCTGAATTTCTGAAAGAAAATGCACAGAACTGAATCCGATTTTAGAAACCTTACTTTGGCTTGGGAGACAAGATGATCTTTCCGCTCAAGGTAGTCTTGTCTACCAATATTTATATATCTAAAAAGTTGGGGTTGATAAATTATTGCAATCTTCAATCTCATTCTTGCCATCTTTACCTCAACATTTGTTTGCTACTCATATGGTTATACTAGTCAAAAAGCCTAATCCTGGAAAATAGAAGTCTGGTGTTTCCTATATCACCCAAAATTGCACTATAAGATAATAAAATTTGATGCTACTTTTTCTGTTCTACTTCCACCATTCACTAGCACTTTGTGGAACCCCACCCTCTACATTAAAGAAATTGGGGATGGTGGGAAGAGAAGAAATGGCATACAATTCTACCTTCCCCTAGTTCCTGTGAAAGACCACGCCGGCTGTGAAGTCTGACAGTTTCAGGCTGTCCAAGGACGCAACTCTCTTGCCCTTGTTATGCCACAAAAAAACATTGCAGGAATGAGTAGCAACAACAGAGATATTTATTATTGGTTATGGGTTTATGCATTATAATAAACCATTAAATTTGTGTCTTTGGCTTTAGCTCAGTATTATGTTTTTTCAGTCCCCATGTTTTGCAAACTTTGTCTTTATGCCTTACCGTATGTCAGCTGGGCCATGATGGTTATTTAACAGACAATAGCTAAAACAATGACTTGAAGATCTGAATGTCTGGGTTTAGACATTCCCAAGCCAGATATGCTTCATTTAAGAATTCTTGCAGTCTTTTTATACTTGGAAATGTGGTCCATGGCTGACAGCAAAGAGAAAAAATTGTCAGGAAAAATCAAGTAGGTGAACACCAAAGTCATCCACCATGTCATCCCACATTTTCATTTGATATCACCAACTTGATATCGTTGCTGAGTATTTAAGTTATATGAACCGCGCACTGTGGACTAAACAGTCCAAAGGGAAAAGAGGCATCTGGAATAGATTGTATGAAACTAAAAGATAAATTCTTTTGCAAAAGTAGAAGCATTTGATCCATAGAGTATGTTGTGCTGATGAAATTATTTTCTGTAAACATATTTTAAGCACAAATAGTATTAGTTGTATAATAGATGTTAAATGAATTTGAGATGCAAAAATTATAAGTTCAATGGTTAAGGTATATTCAACAGTTTTTAGTCTCTCATACTGAAATTCTGATAAGCTGTGATCAGACCATTTCTTATTAGTATTATTCACAGTATTGCAAAAGGCATATTAAGATTATAAAGGTCAATTTCACTGGTTGGTTTTGCTCTTATTTGACAACAGGTTTTAGAACACCAAAGAATGATAAATTAAACAGAAAATATTAAATATTTTTTGTTGGGATTTCTTGAGGTTTGTATTTCATCTTTCAGCAAGATCCATCCTCTGGGCTAGGAAATTGCTAATTCCACCTGCAGATATTTTGCAATTAATTCAAAACTGAACATTGATTTTTAATAAACTTTCTATTTATAAATTGCATCTGATGTGATTTCAGTATTGCCACCTGTGAAAATCTGACTTCTTAGAAATGTAAAGCTAAAATATTCTGAAAAAAGCAGAGGTATAAATAATGACATACGTTTTTTGGCTCAAAGGATTTATATATTGCTTGCTTAACATCTAGAAATAATTTCTTTCCACAGATAATTAGCTAATGATCTATGTATTCTATCTATTGTGGCTATGAAAACGGAAGACTAATGTCACCTACTGACTGTCTACAACAGGGGTGGCCAAACTTTGGCCACTCTAAGACTTGTGGACTTCAACTCCCAGAATTCCCCAGCCAGCAATTCTTAAAGTTTCCAAGGTTGGATACCCCTGTCTACCAGTAGAGAGTTCTAGACAAATCTTCTCCCACACGCCCAAATTGATTTGACCTCATTTATATAGTTGTCCATTGAACATGGCAATATATACAATTGAAATGTGTACATTCCAAAGGTGTGTTCCAGAGACTTTACGATACTTCCAAGGTATCTTCAATTTTAGCATCCTTCAGAAATGCAATGCATGAATGGAAACCAACAATTCAATTTTATAAGGTATTAGACAACTCATGATACCCCATTGGATCATTGGTACTTTCTTACCTAATGGAGAAACAGAATGACCCAGGACAGACAAAAAAAGCAGCAGCGGAACTGGGAGAACTGCTCACTTCCTCCTGGCCTTCCCGGTGGCCTTTCCTTGTGGGAATTTGGCAGGGTGCATAGGAATTCTCCCCTCTCCTCCCCTTTCCAGCAGGCAGGTAAATGGCTACTGCTGGGTGGGGGAGGATTTTACTACTGTGTGGAATTTTATTTGCTTATTGTAATTTTAGTCATTTATTTAATAGCATTTGTGTGCTGCCCTGCTAGAGATACCAAGCAATTAACATGCAAATAAAAATTCATACAAATAGCAGTAATGAAACAGTAACGAAACAAAGCTCATACAAAGAGCAGTAACAGTAATGAAACAAACAAATTTAGAAAAATGCATTTTATTAATTTTATTACTAAAGTTAACAATAGAAAATCCAAGATATTTATTTTACAAAAACATAAATAACATAATAGTTTGCAATTCTTTCTATGCGATTGTCATCCTGAAGACTGATCCAGGAAATGTATTGACAGCTACATATTAAAACATTTAGGTGCTTCATATTTATTTTAATTCCGTGATTTTAGGACAATCTATTGTTTGGTTTTAATGTCACTATTATTATGGCTTTGCTGCTCCGAGAACCTGACCATTGTGATTGCAAATAATGTCATCTGAAATTTAATAAATTTGAATATTAATACTTGGGGGAGGCTTTCCTAGAGATGGTCTATAGATGGGCAGCCAACAGGGGAGCAACTCATCAAATGGCCCTGGGCTTCTGCCTGATCCACCTCCTGTGCGTCACAGTTTGACCTTCTGACAATAGTTAAGTCCTAAGCAAAAATCTATTCACACTAATTAATTTATTCAATGTGCAGATGTCACTCCTAAAATGAAAAAAACTAAATGATAAAATAAAAGAAATTGTGCCAGATGCAATGCAATTCAACCAAACATTATTAAAACAAACAGCATGAAACCTTCCAACTATTGCCAGGGGGGAGGGGGGGAGACGGGGATGACTCATTTCTTATAATAAAGGCCAAACAATTAACTGAGGGTATGAGGTTCCCACAGCTAATTCTAAAGTGAAAAATAAACCCACAGTTATTTGAGTACAAAAAAACTCCAGCTTTGGTTTAAAGAAGTGCCTCCTTTTTCGTCTCTACAGACAAGTTTCTGCTCAAAGGACATTTGAGCTACTTAATGGTATGGATTTCTTTCTCCAGAAGTACCATACTGTATTATTAATGTTATTTCTCTGCTTAATCCATTTTAAAAACCATTATTGTGATACTATTGATTATTTGATGGTATCTGTTCAACATTGCGCTGACTGAAACTATGCTTTCCTTGTGTTAGCAAAGCTCTAAGAAAAAAAGCAGTGCACCTGCTGCGGTTCTTGTGTCATTAATTTGATAAACCCATCAGTTTTAACTACAGTAGGACATTGTTTATAGCAAAGATAGGCAACATTTAGAGACCGCCAGGTTTATTTGGAATTCTTGAAGCAGGTCATAGTTGCCAAGAGGTGGATTTCCTCATTCACAGTCATAAAGGGTGTGGCAAGTCACAGAAAGTCACTTTATCAGAAGTCAAGGAAGAGAGAGTGTTGCCCCTTTCCTAGGGACAATGTTCCAGAAGAAACTGCCTTATTTCTGGATAGGTGGCCTTGCTTCCAGGAACAGTGCCAGACTGTACCCATTCTACACCAGACATGTCAAAAACAAGGCCTGGGGGCCGGATGTGGCCTGCGAAGTGGTTTCATGTGGCCCACGAAGCCATCCTGGAAACAGTGAGGGAATGGCCCCCTCTGCCTTGGCTCTAGCCGGCTGGGAGCCAATGTACAATTTTGTGGTGGCCATCTATGCTGAAATGCATTCAGTCTTAGCTCCACACGGCCGACCAGAAACAGCGAGGAACCAGCCCCTGCTGCATGGCCCCGCCCCCTGGGTGCATGCTGGGGAGGTGTCACCCTTTGTGAGGAATGAAGAAATGCACCATGCCTTGGCGCTTGCCCCCGGTCCCACCTCCTTCTGCCAGAGACCCTCAGATCTGTCCCACTCCTGCCCAGGCCCCCACAGGCACCCTTGACGCGAACGATGTAGAGTTGGCCATGCCTACCCAGTAGGCCACACCCACCCTGGCCACACCCACCTGCCCCCCCGAGGGCAACCGCAATGCTGATGCGGCCCTCAATGAAATTGAGTTTGACACCCCTGCCCTACACTGTGTTTATATCTTAATAAGGTCTATAATATATAAAGTAGATGATGGTAACTGCATCTTTATTTATTAAAATTGTTTATTTACCATATATGCCGGCGTATTAGGCGACCCGGCGTATAAGACGACCCCCGTCTTTATCGCCGAGTCGCCTTCCTAGAACGTCGTCTTATACGCCGGAAACTACCAGTATTTCCGGTGTATAAGACGACTCGGCGTATAAGACGACCCCCGTCTTTGGCGCCGAGTTTAGCGCTTCCGGAAGTCGTCTTATACGCCGGCATATACGGTATATTATAAAATTATTCACTGCCCATCTTGCTTCAAGGCAACTCAGCCATGTAGTCGGCTAGATTTGCATGCATTCTCGTCTCGTTTGTGTGGGAGGCCCGATATAAACAGCAAATTCTTCAAGATATCCCTGAGACAGAATCGACCACATTTCTGAGCTAACAGATGGCAGGCAGGGAAAGCACTGCCCAGAGGGTCTCCTGAGGTGCCTCTTCCCATCCCCTCTTACCCTGAGGGTAGTGATTCTTGCTTGATGCAGGCCTTAGCTAGGTGGCTATCTTGCTCAATCAATTTCTTTCAATGAACCATTGAAACACCCTGCCATTAGAAAAACCATCTGACCATTCAAGTAGTCAGAGAGACAACCAAATATTGTGCTGTACAGGCCAAATTTGCACTGCTTTGTTTGTAAGATGCTCACTGGTGCTAACATTGATGCATTGTGACAACTGAGTGGGAAGCAAGTAATGGGCCAGATAGTAGGTGGTAATAAAGTGCTGGAACGCACTTGACCTTCAAATACAGTGAAAAATGATGCCTTTTCTGTATCTGAAGATGGATTCCGTTCTTCCCCAAATACATTTATCTCAAACCTTTAGCTGAATGATACGGATATTTGGGCTACAATGAACCTTGAAATGAACTCATTTCAGCTGGGCTAACAATTGCAATACAAACTTTAGTTGGTTGGAAACAAAGATAGAATCCTCTGGAAGCATTTTCTTATTTAATGGCTACAGGAAGCTGCTGGGAGAGGTCATCTGGACCCAAGTATTATCTCATTTTTCAAAATTTAATACAAGAAAGTGGCTGACAGGTTGCCTGAGCAAAATAATAAGCTGAAATAAAGAACAGACCTAAATGAATTCCACAAAATGCTAATACTGAGGGTTAGCTGAAAGTTTGGCTTGACTCTCTTGATTTGAATTACTGTATATTCCGGCGTATAAGGCGACCCGACGTATAAGACGACCCCCGTCTTCGGCGCCGAGTCGCATGCCTAGAAAGTCGTCTTATATGCCGGAAACTACCGTTATTTCTGGCGTATAAGATGACTCGGCGTATAAGACAACCCCCGACTTTGGCGCCAATTTTAAAGCTTGCGAAAGTCTTATACGCCGGAAAGTACGGTATTTGCTATTGCTAATTGCAGATGGGGGCGTTCTTTGATTCAGTATTGTGCCTGGTCTTTCAAGGGGCCAGCAATAGTAAGGTCTCTATTTATACAATAGCCACTCCTAAAAAAAATCTGATTTAGCAACAAAGAGTTACATTTTGGTTACGTAATACTGAGGTCATTACAAAACACCGAATATACAACTGAACTTGTAAAGTAGGTGAAAAGTTCAGTCCGTAGCAGCTAGATCAGTGGTTCTCAACCTGTGGGTCGGGACCCCATTTGGGGTCGAATGACCATTTCACGGGGGTCGCCAAACCACGCTGTCCGCCATTTTTTTCCCTTTTCCCTAGCTGTCCTACTCCCTCTTATTGGTGGCCACACCCACTTGGGGGTCACCACAACATGGGGAACTATATTATGGGGTCATGGCATTAGAAAGGTTGAGAACCACTGAGCTAGATGAAAACAATGAAGTTTACTCTAGAATATAAAGATCTGCATTAGTTGGCAATCATTTTCTACATCTATGTAGTTCAAAACGTTGGTTTCAGAATTCAAAGCTAAAAAGGGCTTGCAGCCTGACTATGTAAGGAACCACCTGCCTCACAATAAAAGAAAAAACAATAACTCTTGTCTTGCTGGGTTTCAATTTAGTTGGCTTTGTTCCATTTAAGTCAGGACTTCCACAATACTTCCCATTAAGCTTCCAGGGTCAACAGCATACTGATGGCACCTTACCCAAACCCAAAGGAGGATCTCTCCCAGAAGTTTCACACAAAAGTTTAACAGGACAGGGGAGAAAATCAAGCCCTAATGTATCCTACTGGGATGTCTTGAGTGTTTTTCCACTCCCAGCACTTGCAGGATCCAGGAAGGACCTGAACTGAGCTCCCCAGGTGTCAGAAGGCATTCCAGAGAGCACTGTCTCCACTAGGTTACACTCCACAGATGAAAGGGAATCTCAAATAACGCTGCAAAATGGACATCAGATCCTGCCCAAGAAATGGCAGGATTACAGAAAGTTTTTTTTTTTATCAGCAAAAAATATCTACAATATGACAGATTACCTTTTCTAAAGAGATGCCAAGTTACTATCAAAATGTTTTCATGTAACTTCTGCAGTGACTGGTAATATCCACTTTACTGGCCAGACCCAAGGTAACGTCCATGATTGAGCACTAGACACAAGTCTTATATTTATATTGTTGTATCTTCATCAGTGTATTTCCTCTGCTTATATTCTTCAGCAAAAGGAGCAGAAAAAAAAAGAAATATGATAATAATGACATGCATTGATGCACACACATATCTACATCAATGTAACTTCCCTGCTGATTTTTCCTAATATTCAAATAAATATAAATACCTAACGCACCAGTCCAATGTTGGGAGTAAACTCCACTAATAGCATAACTCTGTACTGTGAGAGTGTTGTGTAAGAACAGTTATCCACTCGTGCAGTAAAAGAAATCAAACAATTTTTTTTTACACACCACACAAAGCTATGTGATTTGTTTAGGTTTGGCTTAGGAATCAATACTTGCAGTTTTTAAATGATGACTTGTTTTTTCTAAATGTATAAATCTACCCCTATTCAACAAACTATAACTTAAAAAACACGGCTTTTAAAAATCAACTAATAACTAGAGGGGTTAGAGTCAAATCCAGCCACTGACAAATACGGGCTTAACCCATTCCCAGTCCAAGCCCACCAACACCCGCATAATCCATTTCTCGGAGAAAACTGTAAACACGAAGGAAGAAACACTTACTAATGTGATCATGTCTCCAGGCATAGCCGAGGGTACACAAGCCCAGCAGCAGCAAAGAAATCCCAGGGAATCCATGCTTTTTCACACTGATGTTCCTATTGAAGTATCTATTCCAGGCTATTTAAGAACAACAAGAGGTTTCGTGAGGCACAAGCGAAACCCTTTATCATTCACAACAAGAGCTACAGTCCAGCCATCTTCCCCTGCTAGCCCATGGTTGTTATAATAAAGCTTTTACCCATTTCAAAGCAGAGTGTAACTTGCTCTCACCTCTGAATGTTGCTCCAAGTATCCCCTGTGGAGACAGACCCTGAGGTTTGATATCCTTTAGATTCTTTTCTGCCAGAGGAACTGGAGACAGAACAGCTACATGTTGATTTTCATTTTATGCAAGCCCTCTTTGCAACTTTCCAAGGTTGACTGTAACACCTGTTTTCATTTCTTCTCAGGGACACCAATGTACGGTAGTGTCTCCTGGTAGAATATTTGGGGCTTCCCTCAAAAGCAAACTATAATGTACATGGGAATACATAAGATTTATTTTGGGTTCAACTGAATAAGAAAATGGATTATCAGTGAATAGACTATGATTCCAGGATTTAACCTTCATTCTGAACACTGCATGGGCCTCCTAGTTGGTGAGGATGCAGAAAGCAGTATGTTCGCTTGCAAGATAATCTTTAAATTAAAATATCCTACCTTGCATAAAACAGCAAAAGCAAGCTTGGTGTAAAAACTGAGATTAAATTGCCCTTTACAATTAAAAGTTTTGTTTCGTTATAATTTGTCGTAAGCATGAAATGTTCTACCTAAAATGCAAATCTGCCTGTTTGGGCTTAAAAACAGTGTTTTGATAGGGCAGTTCTATTTAAAAATTAAAGTACTTCCAGTATATTCCATTTTATGCTCAAAAGACTAGCTGAGCAAAAGGATATTTTTATGAATAAAAGTGACCTGCACATATAGAAAGCAGGATGTCTAAACACAAACCACTTTCATGTTGTTCTTTGCAGGGCAACAACAGAGCAGAACATTTTGGCAGGAAAAAGAAAGGTCTCTTGTTTTCTTGTAACATAACTGGTTAAAAAAAAACTAAATACAAACAAATATTTAATCTTGTAATTAAACCAACATTATCTGATTCTCAGTTTTGTACATTACAACCCACATAAAGTGGCTTTTTCTACAAATCTGCCATCTCTGTAAGCAGGAAAAAGAGTGACTAGTTGACTATGCTATGTCAAGCTACAATGTGGCTTGTGTGGCTTTGGTTTGGCAAGTGCTGATAGCACAAACAATGATAGATTGTTTAATAAGTCATGGATAAATATGCTTTGGTCTAGCACAGGGGTCTTCAAACTTGGCAGCTTTTAAGACTTGTGAACTTCAACTCCAGAATGCCTTAGCCTGCCTGGCTGAGGAATTCTGGGAATTGAAGTCCACAAGTCTTAAAGTTGCAAAGTTTGAAGACCCCTGATCTAGCACAATGCATCAAACAGAGCAGAGTTTGCAATACCTTATAAATATATTCCAGATGTGTAAAATATTATTCTATCTATAGGTTGTTTTAGGATTTATTTTATTATTATTTATTTTGGCGTGCCTGTATATTCCAGAAATGAACAACATTTGATTCCCAGGATTCAATTTTCACGTCTTAATTTTGCACTAGGAGGTGATAAAGGATATTACTCTGAAACACAGCATTATGTATTACCCATAAAAGATCTCAATACATTTCTAAGGACTTTTTTTTACAGATTCTACAGATAGCCAAAGTGAGAATGCTTCTGGGCATATAGGTATTCCGCTATATATGAGGCAAAAAAGTGAAAATAGACACTATACAGTTATATTACACATGCATCTAATTTAATAGCCATTCCATCTCTCAAGGAGAAGGCTGAGAATAACATTTTCAGCCTCTTTCAGTAAGCCTCAATTAAAAGGAGTTCTGCAAATCTCAGATAGTCATGGTAACTTCAATTTGTAAAAAAACATGTATCTTGTAGTATATACTCTTGTTACTCTCGATTCCTTTGAAAAAATATGCTATTTCAAAGAATGTCCTAGTCTGTCTGCATTTGCACAATGAATTCAATTTAGGCTAACTGACAAACTGAAATTAAATATGCCTCACAGAACATACCGATTCTATCAAACAGTAATTAATACTATGCGCATTAGTATTTGTTTCTCTTAGAGAAGGGGTGTCAAACTGCCGGCCTGCGGACTGAATGCGTCATGCCAAAAGCGCGTCCACCCCATTGCCAGTAACGGGAAAAAAAGTTGCGATACGTCGCAACACGTCATGTGACGTTGCAAGTTTAACACCCCTGTCTTAGAGCATAACCCATACATGAATTAATATCCATTTGAACCAATCTATTGGGCAGCTATACTCCTTTTTTAAAATTCTGTATGATTAACAACTTTTACCTTTGTGATTGTCACAAAACAGAATGTGAGCTTCTGATATTTTGGCATCCCATTGTGACTGTCTCTCTAAAAATAAGCCCAGCTTCTGGTAATTGGGGTACAGTTCAGTGAACCACTCCAGTCCTAATGCAGATACTTGTATGCTTTGTTCTGGAGAAGTAGTCATTTCTAACTCTTGGGGTGAGGGTTTTCTTAAACCCATCACTGATTTTTTACCTTCTTTTGTCTCAGTGGCTCTTGGGCATAAATCAGTATTTTTCTCCAAAGCACTTAAGTGGCTAGTAGAAGTTTTATCAACTCCCGTTGCTCTGAGAACTTCTGTGAATGTGGGATACACTTTAGGCTTAAGATCTGGATCAATGAGGTGTTCCTTAGGATAATCCTCTGCTTTGAGAAATAAAGAATTTGCATCTAACTTACTTTTAAACAAGTGGACTGGACCTCTGGTAACCCTTCCATAGTTGTCCACAACATGGTCCTGTGATGTGCATGCTTTAATTTTGGACATGTCATTTTCTGTGTTTCCATTTTTGACATTTCCTTCAAGTTCTAAAATGCTCTTCTTGTCCACACTGCCTGTAATAATTTGCTGCCTGTTGGTCAGGGCAATGCTTGCTCCTCCTGACACTGATTTCAGAGGCCTTTGTCCTGCCTTACTGTTATCAAGGATACTTTCATTTAACAGGCTATTATGACCAGAGGATTCACATCTGTTTTCTAATGCTGTCACATGATGAGAAGCAGTGATTTGTTCTATTCTGTCACCAAGTTCTTGAGGAACTGGTTGAAGACTCTCAATGAAATTATTAGTTGAAAGGGACACACTCTGCTCTACCGACGACTTTATGTTCTGTTTCTGTTTTACACAGGGTTTCTGCTGTGGCTCTGAAGTGGCTTTTCCACTTTGTATCAGTGATTCTAAATTAAGACTACTGGTAGGTATAATTTCTTCTTGAGGTAAAGGGGTTCTACTGGTTTTTTCGACTGTGGATAATTTCTCTGGCAGGTTTATCTTTAGAAACAGCTTTTTATCTACTGCTGCTGAAAGCTCTTCTGAAGTTTTTTTATTCTCCCTTGTTTGAGGTGACTTTTCACTAGTACTTTTAATTTGCTTTTCTTCAGGCAGACCACTGTTTACAATTGCTCCCATTACTCCAATATTTTTTCTTCTTCCTTTTTTTGTAACCAAGTTAGTTTTACTTTTTTTGCTTTCTTCTTTGGGGGGAGTTTCTAAGCTTTGGATCTGCCATTTCTTTTTCTCAGTATTTAGCTGCTCAGATGTAACAGAATCACAGGCTTTTCTGAAGAGAGGCAAAGCTTCTCTTGAATCTTCACTATCTGCCATCTTACAGTGAGGTAGGTGAGACTTGAGACGTTTAAACTGCTTTTTGCAGTAGGGGCAGATTTGCATTTGTGGTGAGTTGCCAGTCATTTTTCTGCCTGAAAAAGAAAATGGAACCAGAGATTGGAAGAACAGGCAGAGTAAGAAAAACTTGCATGGATGAAAATTTGGGAAATGTTTAACACCAGTTAGAACTTGTGCCAAGAATACAGAATGGTTCAATGACAGAAATCATTGCCTGATTTTTTTTCAACACATCTGGTCTTTTCATTTTTCATTCAGGTACTATAGTGCAAAATAGTGCATAAGTATACACTATAGAAATACTACAAAGCATGTGTTCATATTTTAATGCTGTAAGTGTAAAACATTTCTTCCATCTTCTATTAAAACAGATTTTAAAGAACACAATTCCTACCATCATCTATAGTATTTTTATGTGCTATTGACCTATCACAAATAGGGCACTGTACTACTGCTAGAATTCATATTAATATATTTTACCTAGAAGCACAAGGATCAATCATTTGGAAGAACCTAAAGAACAAAGTCCTGTGGCTGAATTAATAGCGCTGTACAGCTAAATGAGATAAAGTATTGTAGGCTCTTTCAGTTAACTGGCAGTTACTGGTACAATTCCTTTACCATGTGGCTCTTTGAAACTGCTACGTACCATGGAATTGATGTGGTTCTTGGTTATATGAAACTGAAGGGATATTTCATAGCATATTGGATTAGAAAAGCTGATTTCAAAAAAGAAAAATAGAGCTCATTTTGAAGAATATAGTTAAAACATTTCACTATTTAAAAAGATGGTTTTTGTTTAAAAAGATGGTTTTATGATTATTTTAAACACGTGTTTTCAAATTTTGAACTTCTTGTATGGTTAAACAAATAAAAGTAATAAAAGGGAGTTCTGGGACTCTCTTAGGCATGAAAGCCATCTTGGAGACTTTGGGTCTATAATTCTCTCGCAGCCCAACCTACCTCACAAGGTTGTTGTTTTGGGGAACCTAGGAGGCTGGACTTTGGGGTATGTTTGTAGTCTTGAGTTATATATTTTAAAAGGATATAATAAATAATAATAATAATAATAATAATAATAATAATGCTTAAATCAGAAATTCCTCAATAGAAACCTATGATCCAGTCTCTGTCTACTGGCAAAAATCAGCGTCACAGATCCCCATCACGATGCAGACAGCAGAAATATTTCCCAACTAGACAAACTTTTAAAAATAAATTCATTCCTCCGCTTAAAGTTTGCCTCAGTTAAACTGTCGCTCCTCTCGCTCATCGCCATCCTAAAAGGCAGCAATTTAAGGGGAGTGGGGGGGGGGAGGATAGATTTCTTCCAGGTGAGAGCTCTGCCTTGAAGCCAATGGCTTAGCCAGAGGGAACCTAGGGTCATTTACTCGGAAATAAGCCCCGATCCATCACTTCCCTTCTGAGGCAAAATCGTTTAATCCCACATATGCTTACCCAGAAGTAAGGTTCTCTCCTGGGAATAAGAAGCCGCATGCGAAAAAGATTTACTCAGGAGGAAACCATGCTGAACTCGAATCAGCGACACAACTGTGATCGGCGGCTTCCGGTCAAACCAGCAATTTGAGAATCCAGCGTTGAAAAACGACAAACGCGCCTCCGGCGGAATCGAAACCTTTGACCTTAACTCCCGAGCGGAGACCGAGGCAAGTTTGATGAAAGAGCATGCGCCCCGTGCGTGACCCGTCGCCTTACGCACATGCGCTCTAGAGTCACGGCGTCGGGGCCGCACCGCCAATGCGCAATCAAGGCGAGAGCGTCTCCCTGGCCGGAGGCGGTCCTGCTGCGCTGCCCACGCGCTTGCGGACTCTGCAAGAGAAGAAGGGAAGGGGGGGGCGGGGAAAGGTTGTTGGGAGGCGGATCGCGGGGCCTTCTGTCCTCGCTGCTTGGGATCCGACAGCGGACCGGCCCAGTCCGGCCATGAGTTGCCGGGGGCCGCTGCCCAGTGAACGAGGAGCGAGACAGAGGTGAGCGAGGGGGAAAAAAAGGGATGGCTGCGGTTGGTAGGGGGCGGGGGGGGAAAACGCCGAGAGCGAAGGCGATCAGCTCAGAGCAGGGCCCGAGCGCCGGGGAGGCCGGGCGAGCGGACGGGCTCCTGTGAAGGCGATTGTGTTGTCATTGCTGTGGATGATGTTGCCTCGAGCCTTCGCGTCAGCTGCGACTGTGGCCGGAAATCTTAGTGCTGTCCTCGGTTGTCGGAGCGACCGTTTCCCCAATCGCCAACCTGCCGGGGCCTCGCCCTCCTTGTAGCCGGGGAGTCGGGGAAGTGGGGTACAAACGCGATGGGAAAGGCTGAGGATTAACGTGGGCCGGGCTCGTTTTCGACGAGGTTCGGCCCGGCGGGTTAAATAGGCCCCTCGCATTTTCCGCTTTATTTATTTATTTCCTTGTAAAAATCCTTGTAAAAAACTGTGCAATTTTGGTCGTGCTTTGAACGGCTTCTTTTCTTTTTTTTTCTTTTTTGATGTTTCTATTTTAATTTTCCTTGAAGCAATTTAGGCTGGTATATGCTCTATATTTTTTTATTTTCTTTGCAGGAACACTAACAGGTAGATTACATCAAGAAACTGTGCTCGAGCCAAGATCCTTCTGTCAATTTGCTGGCAGAATAGAAATTTGACCCTGAAGTTTCTCAGAAGCTAATCATATCTCTTAACAGCCTTCTCAGCCATTCTTCAAGGCCTTGTAAAACGGGCCTTGAATTATTACAAAGTTACCCTATTGTAAAACTTCGAATATAGAAAGGCTTTGTAATTTTTCTAAAAGCCATCTAGTGAATTTATGGCTGAGTTGATGAGATTAAAAAAGGAGATATGGCTCATAGGCTTGCAATGGAATCCTAAGTATACATATTTAGCTGCTGTGCTACTCTGGTGTTATTTATGAGAACGTGTACATGTTGGTATAAGCCCATCTGTGTAATACTTGTAAATGCATTTCTGTCAAAGCCTGAAGTCTGTTGCAAATCACAATAAACTGCTTTATTGGTTCATTGTCTGATAGTAAGATTTTGTACAGCTTGACAGAAATCATCATCCTGGTATCATATTTGGAGAAATCCCAGAAAAAATAGACATTGGGTCTATTCAATATGTAAGAGTTAATGTTCATAATTGGAAAACAAAATATTTTACAAAATTACAATATCTTACTTAGAAAAAAATATTCTCATACAAGAACTATATAAACAAAACAGAGGGATACCCCCAAACTGAAGGACTGAATAAACAGATCAACATGTTTTTTTTATATCTCTGCCATACCTTTCAAGGCTGTAGTGCAAACATGTCAAACTTGTGATGTCACATGACATCACGCAACATATCGGGACGGTTTTGCCATTGCCGGCAATGGGGTAGGTGTGGCTTCCGGATGATGCGTCCGGCTTGTGGGCCGACAGTTTGACACCCCTGCTCTAGTGTTAACTTTTCAACTTGTGTCAATCTTTTTTTAAAGTATCTAAAGAATATTTATGAATAATCCTCGTTTTGTGAACCTTGCTGAAATATTGTATGAAATATTGTATGAAATATATGAGTGCTTTTGAGCATCGTCTTTAACAATGGACATCTTAAAGACCATCCATACAGAACTTATGCTCATTTAAAAAGACATTTTCTCAAAATAATGTGGTTGCTTTGGACTTAAAATAACACTTATACCTGTCTTGAATTGCTGACATTTTTGACAAAATAAATCCTGATAATCTAATAGAAGACCATTAGGTTGAGAAATATACAGGTAGTCCTGAAATTATGACTGCAATTGAGCCCAAAGTTTTTGTTGCTAGGCAAAACAGTTAAGTGAGTTTTGCTCCATTTTATGACATCTCTTGCCACAATTGTTAAGCGAATCACTGCAGTTGTTAGTAACATGGTTGTTAAGCGAATCTGGCTTCCCCATTAACTTTGCTTGTTTGAAGATAGCAAAAGGTGATCACATGACCCCAAGATACTGCAACCATCACAAATATGAGCCAGTTGCCAAGCATCCAAATTTTGTTACTATGACCACAGAAATACTGCAACGGTTGTAAGTGGGAAAAACCGTCATAAGTCACTTTTTTTAGTGCTGTAGTAATTTTGAATAATCATTAAATGGTTGTAAGTTGAGAACTACCTGAAACTATTTTTCATTGCCAGACATTCAGGATACATTTCTTTTAAAAATGGTTGCTGCTGAGATGATTCTTTTGAGTCCTCATTGAGATTCCTAAGCATCTAGATGAGGTTTAAATTCTTAATTTGTGCATGATTTTCAATTATCCTATTAGCATAGGATAATGAAAGATGCTTTACAGGATGAATTGCACCTTTTGATATGGCTTTCTTCTGGGCTTAATGGCTGATGTCTTTGTAGCAATGAGCAGATTAAAAAAAATGAATAATTTTAAACTGTGTTAACTGTGCTTTTGTCTTCCACAAGTATACGGAGTTAACTCTACCACTCTCTAATTTTTGCTGCAGGAAGAGGAGACGAAATGGCACAGAGGAGGATGGGCCTGTTCCAGAAACTAAACGTGGTAGCCGAAATGCTGTCTTTCAGGATTCTTGGGATACAGAGGTAAGATTGAATATACAGTGGGGCAAAAAAGTATTTAGTCAGCCACCAATTGTGCAAGTTCTCCCACTTAAAAAGATGAGAGAGGCCTGTAATTGTCATCATAGGTAGACCTCAACTATGAGAGACAAAATGAGAAAACAAATCCAGACAATCACATTGTCTGATTTGGAAAGAATTTATTTGCAAATTATGGTGGAAAATAAGTATGTGGTCAATATCAAAAGTTCATCTCAATACTTTGTTATATATCCTTTGTTGGCAATGACAGAGGTCAAATGTTTTCTGTAAGTCTTCATAAGGTTGGCACACACTGTTGCTGGTATGTTGGCCCATTCCTCCATGCAGATCTCCTCTAGAGCAGTGATGTTTTGGGGCTGTCGCTGGGCAACACAGACTTTCAACTCCCTCCAAAGGTTTTCTATGGGGTTGAGATCTGGAGACTGGCTAGGCCACTCCAGGACCTTGAAATGCTTCTTACGAAGCCACTCCTTCATTGCCTGGCGGTATGTTTGGGATCATTGTCATGCTGAAAGACCCAGCCACGTTTCATCTTCAATGCCCTTGCTGATGGAAGGAGGTTTGCACTCAAAATCTCACGATACATGGCCCCATTCATTCTTTCCTGTACACGGATCAGTCGTCCTGGTCCCTTTGCAGAGAAACAGCCCCAAAGCATGATGTTGCCACCCCCATGCTTCACAGTAGGTATGGTGTTCTTTGGATGCAACTCAGCATTCTCTTTCCTCCAGACACGACGAGTTGTGTTTCTACCAAACAGTCCTACTTTGATTTCATCTGACCATAGGACATTCTCCCAATCCTCTTCTGGATCATCCAAATGCTCTCTAGCAAACTTCAGACAGGCCCGGACATGTCCTGGCTTAAGCAGGGGGACATGTCCGGCACTGCAGGATCTGAGTCCCTGGTGGCGTAGTGTGTTACTAATGGTTGCCTTTGTTACGTTGGTCCCAGCTCTCTGCAGGTATTCACTAGGTCCCCCCGTGTGGTTCTGGGATTTTTGCTCACCGTTCTTGTGATCATGTTGACCCCACAGGGTGAGATCTTGCGTGGAGCCCCAGATTGAGGGAGATTATCAGTGGTCTTGTATGTCTTCCATTTTCTAATTATTGCTCCCACAGTTGATTTCTTCACACCAAGCTGCTTGCCTATTGCAGATTCAGTCTTCCCAGCCTGGTGCAGGTCTACAATTTTGTTTCTGGTGTCCTTCGACAGCTCTTTGGTCTTCACCATAGTGGAGTTTGGAGTGTGACTGTTTGAGGTTGTGGACAGGTGTCTTTTATACTGATAACAAGTTCAAACAGGTGCCATTAATACAGGTAATGAGTGGAGGACAGAGGAGCCTCTTAAAGAAGAAGTTACAGGTCTGTGAGAGCCAGAAATCTTGCTTGTTTGTAGGTGACCACATACTTATTTTCCACTATAATTTGCAAATAAATTCTTTCCAAATCAGACAATGTGATTGTCTGGATTTGTTTTCTCATTTTGTCTCTCATAGTTGAGGTCTACAGTACCTATGATGACAATTACAGGCCTCTCTCATCTTTTTAAGTGGGAGAACTTGCACAATTGGTGGCTGACTAGATACTTTTTTGCCCCACTGTAGTTTTGCTTTGGCAGTTAATATATTATCCTATTAGTGGAGAGTGTGAATGCTTTCTGTGGCTGGGGTATTTTTTTTTTACATGCATTCTATTATGATGTTCCCTTTCTTGATAAGCTCTTCTATACAATCATTTTTTGCTTCTTTTGACAAGTGTACCTTGCAGTTGATCAGGTACTATCCTTTTCCTATTGTCTTTCTACCAATATTTGCTTTTAATTTTTTCCATTATCCCTTCCTTAGTAAATATTTCATCAGGGTGCACAATTTCACTGTTTCTTTGTCAAACATATACCAACAAATACCTGGATTTTAAGTACATTAATTTTCAGTTCTGTATTCCTTGTATTCTGTAATCCTTGCATCATATAGCTTATCTAAAATTCACTTCATTCCCTCATGAGTCCTTTTTTGTGGATCTTATTAGCATAACTGCATATTATTCTTGGGCACTGTAACATATTTCTCCTCCATCTGTTACAAGCTGTTTTCAAATCTTTCCTTATGTCTTTGTCAGTTGGGGGATTGATCTGTCTCTAGTACTTCTCATATTGGATTTGTATTTTCTCTTCACGTATTTGTTCTATTATAACATTTGCTGCTTTGGATTTTTTAAAAATTTCCATTGTTTCTCAAGGTTCGCTGTTGGTTCTGCAGAAAAGGATCTATCCCACATTCACAACTCTTGTTACCTTTTTCATTAATTTTCTTGTATTCATCAGAAGCAAAGCACTCACACTTTTCAACAGACCTTTTTTACGTGGATACACACCAATATCCATTCTTATGTATTCGTATGCCTGAATGGCCGAACTATTTGTTGTAGTACTTTCTCATCTTATTCACATTAGCTAGAAGGTCAGATTTACAGATTTTCTCCCAAATTTATCAATTATTGTGATGTTGCCAACATTCAGAGAAACATAATATGCAAGTGTCACCAAACTATCGTGTTTCCCTGAAAATAAGACCCACCCAGAAAATAAGCTCTAGTTAAGAGCTCGCCCACTCCGTCCCACTGTCTGATTGCTTGTGGCTGCAACAAGGCAGCAGAGTGCATGTTACACCGGTGCCACCACCTCCACAAAGTTGAGGTGACCGCTTACCTCAGGCCCCTGTAGCCAGGCCACTCCCCCAAGTGACTTCCCCCCGCCCATTCAATGACCGAACTGCCCGCCCCTTTCCTTTTATTTCCCTCCCAAGCCGGATTGCCATGCTACGGAGGATGGGCGGTAGAGGCTCGGTTGCCTTACCCGGTGCCCCTCCACCATTTCGGAGCCAAGGGGAGTGACAGTGAAAGCCTCTGCCCCCGCTGCGCAACAGCTGCATCCACCACCGGAGGGGCTTTCTTTGGTCCTGGCCACCCTCGCTTTGCCCCGCAGATCACCTACCCATCAGCAGCCACCTCCTTCTCCAATTCTCCCATGGCTTGCGCCATAACTGGGTGGCACAAGCCTCCCCTGCCATCTCCTTCCACCTGCCAGGCTTGATGTGAAAAGAAAGCCAGTCTTTGTATGTTTGCACTATTCTCTTCCAAAAAGGATCTCTAGAGATTAACTTGGAAACTCATGCACGATTACTAATATTCCGCCAACTAGGAATAAAATGCAGTATAGTGACCCACTTAGGACCAAGCATATTCTTTGGTTTGTTAGTTTTCACATTAAAATAAATTCTCCTTTTGCATTTCGTGTTGATTCGTAGACTTTTCTTTCAAATATTTTTGAATATATGCATTTGTTTTCTTGCTCTACACAAGGCACCTTTCAAAGCGATTTTCACCAGAACTTCATTGTATGTTCATATTCGGGTCTAGTGTCTTGAACAGCAGCAAAATGGTATCTGTAACTTCATTACCTGAATTTAAATAAAGCAAAGAGAGTCCCATTATGGCTCACTGTGATGTGTTAATCCAGATAGTATTTTTCACCTTGGTTTTCTCTGATGTGGCCATTTGGCCATTGCTTAGTAGGTAGGAGAGTTATGAAAATTACAAGAATGAGGGAATGAGGCAGGCAGCTGGAATTCTCTCTGGCTACAAGGGAGGTGCTTGTTGCCTTCCTGGCAGCTGGCATTATGTATGTGCATGAATGAATCCTTTTGGTGTTAAACATAATTTATATACCATCAAGGAACATTATTTTAGTGCAGCTTTTAACATGTTCTATTTGTGTGAAAGTGCAATTAAACATTAACTACTTGAATTCAGCTTTAAAATCCCCCATTGTGGCTTAACAAACATGGTAGCAAGGACAATCTGTTGAGGAATCAACTGTACTTTGCTTCATCAGATGTTTACAGTGGGAGATAACAGTGATAGATGGATAGACAGACAGACAGACCCTAAGTTCAATTCAGTTTTATACTTAACATAGTATGGTGCTTATGACTGTTAAATTTCAGCCTCAGATCAATTATGGGAACATTATTGAATATTTGAAAGTATAAATATGACACCAGGAGTTTGTGACAAGGCAGGTTTTCTTCCTAGCGGAATTGAAAGTACAGCAACTTAGTTTGTATTGGTGGAGTTGGATGTTTAACTTGCTTATTGCAATGTTTTCCCATAGAAACAGAATGATTTTTGGTGCTAGGAGAACTCTCCAGAAAAATGTCTGCTTGAGATATAAAGTTGTTTTTTACGAGTTATGATGACCAGCCTCCCTGTGTGTCTTTGTTCCACAGTCTTCCAGCAGTGAGAGTGGCAGTACCAGCAGCTATAGCAGCAGCAGCAGCAACATAAGCAGTCCTGACAGAGCTACTGGGACAGACTCCAGCTTACCCCAGATAATGCCAGGATCAAGTCCCGTGACGCCCCCTCAGTCTTTCCATGAGCCATCTGCACTATGCCAAGGTCCTTACTTCCACATCAACCAGATCCTGAAGGAGGCGCACTTCCACAGCTTACAGAACAGGGGCCGTCCCCCAACATGATGAGCCTAAGCAGCTCTCTGCCTTCTGTGAAGGGGGACAGCACTGTGTGATATTTCAACTTTAAAAAAAAGAAATTGTTAAAATTGCACAAAATGCCTGTTGCCTTTTCAATCTGTATTTGGAATGACAGGTTAACAGGTAGTTGTTTACTTGTGGTTTGCTGCATCGTTGCAATGCAAAGGGAGCTTTGGAGTAATTTTTATAGGATTCTTCTGGAGACTGGTTGAAGGTGGAGAGCTGATGTGTTGGGATAAGCCTAAGAGTCCACCTCTGTATTATAGGAGTGCGTAATGAGTCCAGTCCGACTTCTCAGTCTGTTTATTAGTAACCGATGCTTTATGTAAAATCCTTTCCAACACTTGTGTTTAGTTTTATAAGTTTTTTTTTTAATTTCAATAAATAGTGAATATGTTTTATGGTAACTTACTCTTTTAAAAAGTTAAGTCACTATGTGTTAAGGCCACTTAAAAAACACTCCCACGAGATAGAATGGGAGTTTCTATTACTTCGAGTGTAAACAATTGCTTCCTTATTACACACACAAACACACATACTCTTTTCCATTGGTCATAGACTTAATTATACCGGCTGTTTAAAGAAAATAATCAGTTAATAACTTCAGCTGCCTAAACTGCATATCTTGCATTTTTACATGATCTGATTAGTTGTACAAGACATTTAAACCCTGAGCTTCGGGCTAAAATGGGGGTTGAATCATATGCCTTACGCATCCTTTGTCATTACAAAGCCAAGATCATGATAGCTCACATTTATTCAATCATTTGGTCATGCTTGAGAGCCAGCCAAGTTTAAACAAAGATGGTGCTGTTGTGTCCTCCTCCTCTGCTGCCAGTTGCCTGAACAGGGACCCAGGACGCAGCATCTCTTCTGCTCTCATCAGGGAGGCAGTCAAAGCCTATTAATTTTAACAAAAAAAAAGTCAATAGCCCCACGAGGGTTTGCCGTTTTTGTTATTCACAAGAAGCTTATAGCTATGTGAACACAGACATGAGCTCAAATTCACAATAGCCAGCAGGGCCACCTGAGCAAATTATGGTATCTCCCTTCTGTGAAAGTTCTATAGAGTTTAAAAAAAAAAAAGTTGAAATTTTGCTAGGAGAAATTCAGTGGGTGTAAGCTGTCTGCAGCTTTGATGCCTTATGTTAAAATCCTCCCTTTTATGTAGGACTTAGTGCCTCACTGTGTTTATGATGCTAAAAATGGACAGCAGTTTTCTGTCATTCTGAGGCGCAAAATACATGAAAGAACTAAAATATCAGTTTATAAACCAACCAACCTCAAATCTTTGCTTAGCTACATACCGTGTTTCCCTGAAAGTAAGACCCGGTCTTATTTTTGCCTCCAAAAGAGGCATTAGGTCTTATTTTCGCGGGAGTGTCTTATATTTTTTGTGACACCTGCCTTGCCTTGCGACGGCAGCACCAACAGCCCCCATCTAGCAGGAGCCCGCATGGCTGCAGGGAAACAGAGTTTGTGAGACTAAAAAAAATTCAGCCAGACCTTCCAACTTCTCGCGAGTTCTTTTTTTTTTTTTTTGCAAGAAGTTGGAAGGTCTGACTGAACTTTTTTTAGTCCCACAAACTCCGTTTCCCTGCCAGCAGGAGATAAATGCGCTAGAGCTGGAATGTAGCTTGGTGAAGAAATGCTTTCGGGAAGAGGGAGGATCTGGGCAGTGGTGCGCCAAATTCTACAGTAGTGCTGGGAGGAGAAGCGGCAGGAAACGCTGCCATTTCCAGAACAGAGAAGGGAGATGCGGCACGATGCAAGGCGGCAAGCAAGTGCTGTGCTCTGCATTGCTGTGCAGAGCTGCTCTGCACCCCGTTCTCTCCAGTGGCAGTGACGGAAGGCTGGCGGGGGAGGCAATGGGAGGCACCCAGTCACAGTGCAAGCCACGGGAGAGTTGGAGGAGGCGGCAGCTGCCACTGGGCAGGTAATCTGTGGGGCAAAGCGCGAAGGAAGCCCCTCCAGCGGTGCACAGCGGCAGCGGAGCCTTTCACTGTCACTTGCCCCTAGTTCCGAAACTGCGGAGGGGGACCAGGCCTACCCCACCCATCCTCTGTAGCATGGCAGTCTGCCTTGGTAGGGGAGTGAAAGGGAAGGTCGAGCAAGGAATGGCCTGGCCGGGGGGGGGGGGCTGAAAGAAGCGGGTGTGGGCCATGTGGGGCAGCACAACATGCATTCTCCTGCCCCATTGCAGCAGCAAGTGGGATGGAGTGGGCGAGTTCCTAACTAGGTCTTATTTTGGGGATAGAGCGTATATTAGGCCCACCCCCCAAAATCAGGGTAGGTCTTATTTTCAGGGTGGGGCTTATTTTCGGGGAAACACGGTAGCAGCCTTTTACCAGACAAAGGCTGTCTATCTTTAATATAGAAAATCCAGTGTCAGTATTTTTTTAAAAGTTTGTTTCAAGAATCTCCCAAAAGTTCAGAATGATTACCTTCCTTAATTTATTGGCAGAAGTGGACATGGTGGAAAGGTATGGTCGGGAATAATTATAGAGCAGCTGATTGCCAAAGCATGCAAATTAAGCAAAGACATTCAAAAGCTTTCTCTGTCTATATAGTCCAAGTCAAAGAACTTCTGCCAAGCAGGTGGTTAATAATAATGGGCTTAGTTTTGCTAAAGTACCCCAAAGAAATAGGCTCAGGGTTAAGCAGAAAGCAATCAAAAGTTGCAGTCAAAAATTAAATGTATACCTGTGTGCGCGCGTGTGTTTGTGTGTATACTACACTCACAAGTGATAAAGTATGTATTTATAATATTGCACCCATAGTAACCGAAATCTACAATTATTTTTTTAAAATTAAGATACCACATGGAATTAAAAAATAATAATTATGATAGCTTTTCTTATACCCTTTCTTATTAAAGGAAGGGTATAATCATTTTCTAAAAATACATTGAGTGATGCAACACAGAAACCCAACCAAAAAAGCAAGTAAATAACATGCATCAAGAACCTCCTCTTTTCAGGGAGCATTGGTTTCATAATTACAGGAGGAAAAAGTGTGCAACTGGCAGTTGTTAGCAGGAGTTCATTTTCTAAGTCTGGTAATTTGACAAAAGGTCTCAGTTCAATGCGCTGTACAAAAGAGCTGTATGACCAGTATTAGTTTTCTACAAAAACCTATGCATGCGGGAAAGAAGCCTTTCAATTCACACAGTTTAATACCCCAATAAAGTTTCTTCAGGAATTACTGATCAGCATCACACTAGAATAAAGGTTATAAGGCAGTTAAAACAGACATTACTGCTGTTACAAAGATATTTATTAAAATAACAAAGATGAAAGAGTGAATGGCCCAAGGCTTTCATGCCTAAGGCGGTATACTAGAACCCACCACCTCTTGGTTTCTAGCCTGGTGTCTTAACCAGACAACTGAAATTAAACATAAATTTCACTGCGAAACATAACTAGCTAAATATTAGTCTATCCTACTGTCAAACTATTTTGTTACGCAATTTGTCCTGTCTGCATCTTTGAAACAAAGCAAATGTGATGCAAATCCAAATCAATCACTGTTAGGGAAAGATAGGAAATAATACAGAATAATACAAAGCATGGACGGTTAACTTCAGAAAATTCCTCAACACCTTTTTGCAGCCAGCAAAATCCTCTCTATCCTGAAAACTGGCAGCGTAATTTCCTGCTGTTTTGAATGGAGATGAAAACGAATATTAGGCTTAAAGTAGGTGCTGCCCAATTTGAAACAAGCACTAAATTATTAAACTACTCAGCCCAAGTCCCAGGTGTTGCAGCTCTCCACCCTGATGCTCAAAAACCCACCAGTGTCAAAAAGTTGCTCACCCCTGAAACAAAGGAACCAACCTCAGTTTCGTGCTCAGTGTTTCTCAGAACAGGTTTAGCCTTGTGAGAACTGGATGTGCTGAGAGGCAACAGTCCAAATCTTAAAAGAAGAAACAGGATGTTTAATTGCTTTCCAATTTCAGATGCTTTGTTCTTACAGGACATGTTTTTTATTGCTTACAGGTCTGAGTCACTTACCTGATCTGGCTAGAGGTTAGAGGTAGGATGTTATGTAGTTTTTGAGAAGTTAAAGCACTGCTTCTGCTCGTGTACTGATTCTCTGTTCCTGTCAATAAGCCAAACAGGACCTAGAAAACAGAAAAGAGAGAACTGTCTGGCCTTAATAGAGAAACATTCATCTAAAAGGTGTTGGTTCAACTATAAAGAGTCATGTTAGATTAAAAAGCAGCATTTGCAGCATGAGGAATACTTGTAGATTAAAGAATGTGCTGTAATTATTACCTACAATGCTTGAATAAGCGAGAGTATCTCTCCACCCACTTGCGTTACCAGTTTAAGCTGTGTGACACAAACAGAGAGTTTCCAAAGATCAACACGGCCTATGATCTTCCCAGATCACATCCATGCAGCTTTGTGGGGTTTCCTTGCTTATGGCTATTCAGGGAAGGTAGTATTTCTAATGAGAACATATAGTTAATTGAAAATCTTTGCACTGTTTCATTAAAAGGTGACCATAATAAGCCATTTGCTATATAGGTAGTTCTTGGTTAATGACCACTTGTTCAACAGTGGTGCTGAACAAGTGGTGATTACAACCGGTCCTCAAAGTTCTGGCCATTCCATCATCCCCACAGTCACATGATCACAATCTGGGCGCTTGACAACCAGCTCGCACTTAAAACAGTTGCAGCATCCTGCAGTAAAGTGATCGTGCTTTGTAATCTTCCCTGCCAGTTTCACACAAGCAAAGTCAATGACGCAGCCAGCAGGGAAGGTCACAAGGGTAGGTCTCTCCCTGACACCCTCTTCTCAGCCCCTTTGCACTCGGGTTGTGCTGGCCGCCCGCACGTTCCCACACAACATCCTTGAACCTTGCTACACTTGCACCATGCCTGCTGAAGTCTTGCAAACAGACCAACAGTCAGGTTAGTGGCTGCTGCCAGGTGTGTGAGGAGGTGTGGTTGGCCACTTGTGCATTTTCTCTCGCCCTTTACACACCTATACTCACTCAAGGAGCAGCCACTGGCTTGCTTGCTAACTTACTTGCAAGCCTCCTTGGATTTGGAACTTCTGCCAGTTTTCCCACCGACTTTGATTGTTGGAAGCCGGCAAGAAGTTAGGAGGTACTTGCTTAACGATGCACAGTCCTCACTTAACAATGACAATGGGAGTCTCTTGGTAAGTGATATAGTCACCTGATGTTGTACTTTATGACTTCATCACTCAGTGATTGGAAATTCCCAATTGCTATTGTAATTCAAGGACTATCTGTACTACTACTACTGTGTTTCCCTGATAATAAGACCTGGTCTTATTATTATTTTTCCCTCCAAGAGATACCAGGTCGTATTTTCAGGGGGTGTCTTTTCCACTGACCTCACGGGGCAGCACCAACAGCCTCGG